TAATTAAGATTAATAGTATCGAATTGCAAGAATCTTAATTGAATTAAATAAAATAAGATTAGGAAATGCTTAAATAAATATCTTCTTAATAATAAAAAAGTAAATTTTTGCTTTTATTTTATCAATAAATTTTAATTATATTTTACTAAAAAATAGATTAATTGCATTTTTTTGAAATATTCTTTCATAATACAAGCAAAAAATGAGTTTAAATTAAACTAATTAAAAATAGTTTTAAAATCAAAATAAAATTAAGGAGTAATCCTTACTATTATCATTTTTGTATAACAAAAATATATTTATAAATCATAATTTAAATTGTAAAAAAATCAATTTAATATTAAATATGTAATCTTACTTGGTGTTTATGATCAATAACTAAACGGCTCCAGATTATTTTCAATTAAGTTAATAAATAAAATTTAATTTTCTTGAGTTTTGACTTTTATATTTTTAATTTTTGTCTTTATTTTTTTATAGCATAAAAAATAAACCATAAAAGCTGAAAATTTTTATTATTAATAAATTAAGTTTTTTAAATTTCGAAATTTTGACAGTAATTTTCGAAAAGTATTTTGAATAATTAATATTTTTTAAAAAAAAATGATTTTACACATAATATTATTAAACAAAAATAAATTATAAAAATAATATTTAGTATTTTCAATTACAAATTTAAACTAAAAAAAAATACTGATTTAATTAATCTAACTAGTTCATATCAAATCAATCAATTAAATATTATTGTCCCCTTCAACATTTTTAAGACTACTAAGAATTGCTACATTTTTAATAGATTAATATATATAATATAAATAAAACTAAATAATTTTATTAATTTTTAAAATTCTTATAAGTTACTGTTACTACCTACCTAATTAAAGATTAAAAATACTTAATATGTAAGTTTTTTTACTTTTAAAATTAAAATAATTAAGAATTTTTTGAGCTTTATTTAGCTCAACAAAAATTTAAATTCTAAACAGCTTTAAATATATTTCCATATTTACTTCATGTAAATTTTATTTTTAAAATCAAAATTTATTAAGCAAAATTATTTTTTAAAATTTAATGGTAAATTAATTTACTTGCTTGATACTAAGTAAACAAAATATTAGAATGATCAAAAGTAAATAGATAAATTAATGTGAATAAACTAATGAAAGTAATTTAAAAGAGTTTGTAATTAAAATTAAACTTTACATCTTCTCACTTATTTTCAATTCTATGGTAATTAACCAATCGATAATGGTAGTTGATTAGTGTTTCAGAAAAAGGTGGTAAAAAAAAGAATTTTCATATAAATAGTAATTAAGATAATTAGTTATTGAAAATGTTAAGGCATTTGAGAATGTGTAGCTTATTTTTAAGAATTTCTTCAGTCAAAGTAATAAAGAAAAAAAGAGAGTGGAATATTTAATTGATCTAATATTAAATAAAATTGTGATAAAAAATATTACTTAGATTACAATAAACAAAATTATAAAATAATGAAAATTTGGAATTTAATATGTGTTCAAATTTTAGATTTAGTAATTTACTTCTAATTTCCTTTTAATAAACCCGAATTAAATAAACAATGGATATTTGAAAAACAAACAAAAAAATAAATAAATATAGAGATAAATACTATTTTTTCATATTGATCTTTTGAATAAATATTAATCTGTTTTTTATCACGAAATTGATTCACTAAAATCTTTAATTTACTGATTTACTGAGTCAATCAATCAATTAATTAATTGAATAATATATTAGTTAGATTGATATATTATTAGCAATTAAATAAGATAGATGAAAACAAGAAAGAGCAAAAATATGTTTTTAAATGAAAAATAAAAAAGACTTCTATAATTTTTCATGCCTTATACTGCAATAGTCATAATAATATATCTATTGATGGGGATTATGATAGTGTTTTATTACCAACAAAATGTGTATTTTATTATTAAATATTATAAATAAACATGCTTTGGATAATTAATTCTACTTAATGTCTTATAAAAAGTAAAAACCAGCTATAAGATGTTATTTTATTGAGATATAATCAGTATCTTGATTTCATGAGTATCTCAGAAAAAATGCTTATAACTTTTTCGTTTCAAAAAATATCATCTTACTCTCAGACTTTTGGAATACTTAACAAGCATTTATTAAGTGATGACATTAAATTTAATGATGTAGGTATAATAAAAATATTGTATTCTAAATAACTAAAATGATGTTTGTTTTAAATATATCTACAGTTGCATGGGATGATAAAAGCTTAGAAAGATTCTCATAAAATCAGAATAAACCTAATTTTTTACTATAAAATTAATATTAACTCAAAGATTATTGCTAACCTATTGAACTTTGTTAATAAAACTAGACATGTATTAATAGCTTTAACAACTATCTATTATAGTAAAATTACATGGATGACAACATTTAATATAGTAAACTTCTTTTTTTCTTTAATTATAAACTTATTTTTTTTGTTAACTTCTCAAGAAAAAGCACAATTTGCAAGCTGGTCGAGCTCGATGTATATAGATTGGGGTGATCTTGCATCAGCATAAAAAGAATATTTAATTAAAATGAATTTACAATAAACATTTTGGTAATCTTATGTAATAAATTAAAAGTATGATTTTATTTAATCTGTAAGGATATACACTGCAAGACAATCAGATGGATTATATTATCAAATACTTTCAGAGTAAATTATATTATTTTTAGCAAAATTATTTGTTATAAGAATTTTATTTTATAAATGCAAATTAAGGAATTACTTATTGGTATTTAGTCTATCTTAAAATACTTATTACGGAGGACCTTTTGCTTGTGTGAAGCGTAACGGACGCTATCCTGAATATGCTTTCACAAGTACTGATTAGTTCTATGGATTTCTATATTAAAATTAAAATCTTAAAATTTGTGGAAACAGCACATCTCCTTGCTCTTGTCCTTACTTTAATTAAAAAAGACTTTTACCTCTTGATTGGAGATGCAGACCTTGGTATTAGGAAGCGAATGATACTTTCTATATGTAAAAAATTAAAACTTTATGATTCAATATAATTTTTTAAAAATAATAAAAAGTTAATTTTCTTAGCCATACATTGACTTTGGAATGAAAACAGTAGCATCTACTTCAACATTTAAAATAGTTAAATCATAGAAAAATACTTATTCAATACAAGATGAACTAAATTATTAGTAAGATGCTGTTTAGGCGATGGATTTAAACCTATAAAACATCTAAACTAGATTTTTGTAAAATTTCGAAGATGACGAATATTCTTATTTAGTATCAACTAATCCAAGCAAAAATTCAACAGATTACACTCCGTTAATTATGGCTCATCCTAGTATGAATATTAGTAAAATATAAAAATTTTTATTACAAAGACTAAATATTTAATTTAATAATAATCATTTTTGATATTAGTCAACTCAAATTAATTAATTTTAGCTTTAATAATATTTAATTTTTGTTTATTTCCTATTATTTAAATTAAATTAATTTAATTCATTCTAGAATTTTATGAGAAATT